GAGAGAAACATGAAGAGAAATTTGCCTTTCAGGGAATATTCAATATGTGGGCTGGTAGTGCTATGGCTATAGATAAATAATAAAAAAAAAATAATAAAAACATCAATCCACTACACCCACACTAACAGCCCCCATATTGAATATTCCCTGAAAGGCAAATTTCTCTTCATGTTTCTCTCCCAGTTTGTATCAGCAACACCGGGTCTCCTCCTACATCTCCCCTCCTCTTTCTCCTCCTCCTCCTCCTCCTCCTTCTCCTCCTTCCTCGGTGTCCTCCGAGCGGCACACCGCCGTCATGGTGGACTCTCCGGGCGCTGCCGTGAAGAAAACCTTCGCGGTGCCGGAGATCAAACCGCTGGACCGGTACGACTTCAACCGGGCCCGGATCTGCGCCAGCATCCGGTGGCTGCTGTCCGCATCGTACGGCTCTGCAGGTACACACGCGCGCGCACGCATGCAAACAAACAAACAAATCCACATCAGCACCACGGTTGGGTGGGGCGCAGTCATTTATGTTTCTACATGTGGATCCCAGATTTGTGCACTTGTCTTGTTTTTGCAGCAAACCTCCAGCATCCTCCTCCTCCATCCCTGTTTTCCCTAACAATAAACGATGCTCCTTCCCTCCTCCTCCCCATCTGTGCAGCTCAGCACCATGTAACTGAAGATGGTGGGCTGTTCCAGGCAATCATTTGACGTGCATTTGAATTTGTCAGCAGGAATGTCCTCAGCGGTGCAGGATGGGAGCTGTGAGGCTGCAGCGCAACAAAGCCTTTTGTCAGAGCTGCATCACATCGTGGACCTCAGCAGACAGGGAGAAGAGAAAGGCTTTTAAATGAACGCACCCTTCTTCAAAACACTTAAACCGCTTATTATTGTTGGCTGTATATGGGTTATCCACATGATATTTGTGTCAGTGTTACGCTGCACGCTCTGCTTTAGCTCGTGCTTGTGTGGTGAAGGTGACACATAGCATTTTGCCTCAGATGTCATGAAAATTATAGATGAATGTGTGAATGTTTATGAAGCATCCATTTTTCTTCCCTATATGTTTTTCAGCATCTTTCTCATTCCTTAATTTTTGTGCTATTTCAACAAATCACGTGTACCAAAACATTCAGCTCGTTCAGGAGAAGGGTGCTAGTTTGGTGTTGGTGCAGTTTTTGCTTTTTTGAAATATTTAGCCTTTTCTGCCACATTTCCTCTCATAGAAAATGAATTGAGCTCATTTTACATCCTTCAAAACCTTTAGATCTGTTTACAACCTTTTACTGCTCCTTTCACATTTCTCAGCGTCTTTCAGCTTCCTTGTGCACATTTAAGCAGTTTTTCGACTACTTTCAGCTAATTTCAGCTGTTTTTTGCAGCTGTTTTGTGACGCTTTTATTCTTTCTGCTTACTGCAACATTTTTGTGCTTCTTCTAATGTCTTTCAGCTAATTACAGCTTGTTATGCTCCTTTCAGCTTATTTATGCAAGTTTCAGCATTTTCTGCTATTTCAACTACTATTTAGCTGTTTTATGCTAATTTTAGCTTTTCTGGCTAATTCCACATTTGTTGCACTCATTTTAACTTTTTTTTCAGTCTAATTCAGAAAAAAGTGCTCTCTCCACTTCCTTCTGGTTATTTAAGCTTCTTTATGTTATTTTAGCTACTTTTCAGCTGTTTTTGTGTGTGCTAATTTCAGCTTTTCCAGGTAATTTCCACTTTTTTTGTGCTCATTTCTGCTTCTTTTAGCCTAATTGGCCGAATGTGTTCTTTCTGCTTTCTTCTGCTCATTTCAGCTCGTTCCAACATTTTTAAGCTAATGTTAGCTGTTTTCAGATCAATTTAATTTTTTCATGTTAATTTACTCAACTTTCAGCCTATTTAACTTCTTTATGCTAATTTGAGTTTTTTTATGCCCCTTTCAGCCTTTTTTTCTGCTAGCTTCAGCCTTTTTTGCTTTTTTCAACTACCATTTAGCTCTTTTGATGCTAATTTGAGCTTTTTCAGCTGATTCCACGATTTAAGTTCTGTTGCTTCCTTCAGGTAGTTTAAGCTTCTTTTTATATTTTTCAACTATTTTTTTGTTGTTGCTAATTTCAGCTTTTTTAAGCTAATTTCCTAATTTTTATGCTAATTTCTGCTTCTTTCATCCTAATTCAGCAATTATGCGTCCTTTCTGCTCTCTTCTGCTAATTTAGGCTTGGTCTTCCATTTCAGCTACATTTCAGAATTTTTTTAAATCTTTAGCTGTTTTTCAGCAAGTTCTTCTGGAATTAGCATCCACACTGCATTTTCTCGGGAAAGGCCATCGTTTTAGTTATATCCTAAATACAAACCCACTGTAATGGAAATGAAGATTGCAGTTAGATGATTTCATTCTGCTGAGGCGGCCCCATGCAGCTAGAGGCTCTGCTGACAGAAAGGTGAAGTCAGACGAGGACCTTTGGATTGTGGAACTGGGATGACATCATGCTTTTAATCTGGTGCTCAGATTTCACCTGGATCATCACCCAAACCCAGATTTATAGAATATATTCTGAGATCAAAACAGATATGTTAACTCGTCACTGTTCGTTACTGTGCTCAGCTGATATGTTTGATGTTGCCCCGACCATGGATTGTCCAGTCACCATCAGCTGTGTGTGTGTGTGTGTGTGTGTGTGTGTGTGTTTAGGTGCAGACGCTGCTGACTAACACAGTGATGTCACACTACATCTGATCATGCTACAACATGCCCTTATACAAATCATTTATTTTTTAAAGCAACGTTCTGTTTCTGTTCTGTTCAACGTTTTGTTCTTGTAAAGTTCTGTCCAGTCCGGAGGTCACAGGAGCTGACGGACGTTTTGTTGTCTGTCACTGGAAAATGTCTGCCGGGTGCCTCATACAAGTTTAATGAATCCCTTGAAGAAAACAAAACTCCAATAAAGGGTTAAATCAACTAGAAACATCTCAGATGCTGCTAAAGGCTGACTTCTGTCTTAATTATCAACCAGATGATTTTATATCACACGTGTCTGCGTGCCTGTTAACAAAATATCTCATGAACCACTTTACAGTTTTTATTGAATCTTTTCTGGAAATAATCATTAGGTGCTCCTCAACAACTGATTAACATTTGGAGCTAACCCAATTGAAATCAACCACTACAGACAACTGAGTTGAAAAAAATACAACAATGACTATAATTCTGTCAGTTTTACAGATATTCAGCTAAAATTAGGTATAATTGTAGCTGAGAGTCATTCACATTACTTTAATCACTACGAATTGTGAAAGAATTTTAGCGTTAGTTGTTGGAATTAAAGTTGTTTGTCTGTTAGCAAAATATCACACGAACCAGTGGATGGATTTCAACAAAACTTTTGTAACTTAATCACTGGGTGCACATCTAGAACTGATTAACTTTTGGTGACAGTCGTATTTAAGATGTGCGCCACAGCTAATCCATGTAAGCCAACACTAAATGGTTACAACTCAGCCAGTTTTACAGCTAATGAGCTAAGATGTTAGGTGGTTGTAGCAGCACGTTCTCTGAGCGTGACGCTGTATTGATATTTTTATTGCTTAACCAGAATGACTGTAACTGTGTCATTTCTCAACATTATACGATTTTTGAATTTCTGCATGAAAGGCGGTGGGTGATATGCGCGAGGCCTTTAAGTTTCTTAATGAAATTTATTTTTATTGTTGTTGCTGAAAATGTGCTTTCTTGGTCAGCACAAACACAAATCTGAAATTAGAACGTTTTTAACTAAGTGTTAAATGTTTTTTCTAGTGAAACGTGTTGAGATTTGACATGAGGTCCTGCAGAAGTCCAGATAATTACAAGTCCAGTTCAAAGAAACACTTCTAATAGATTATAAGAATAAAGATGGTCTGATGATTACCAAACAGTTTTCATCCATTCATTCAACCTTTATTTAGGCAGGTTGATCCCACTGAGCCTCAGGGACTCTTTTACAAGAGAGACCTGGATTTTAACAGAGCGATGACAACAAAAGACAACAATAATAAAGGATGCGTACAAATTTAGATTGTTTTAAACAAGTGGAATGAATGAAAGAGTGAAAAGAAAAATAATGTCACAATAAAAAGACGAACACATCTATTGTTTGTAAAAACGTGCATCTGCAGTTCCGTGCAGCTTTTTCAGCTCTAAACCTGGTTTTTAAGGCCTGAGAGAAAAAAAAAGAATGTTCTTCACAT